TTTCCCACCAACTGTTCTCTCAAATGTCCCAACCCGGCCTCTTCATGTCACCAAAAACTTGTTCATGAAATTCCACAAGTGTACGAATCGTAACAAGAATAAAGTGGATTTATCAAGTTCGAATATCGTCCCACAGAAACTAGTATCTACTATAAAGTTTTAAACTGACCTAATTTCAATTTAAATTAAACCGGTAACTAATGATCAAATCAAATTGTGTGTTCTAATAAATAAAATAACAAACTATTAAATAAAATAACAAACTCAAATTAAATTTGTAGATAAGATTACGTGATTAGATAGTTAGGATTTTCGATTTCATTTAGGTTATTTATCATACATTTAATTCTAATTCATTCAACCATCTGTTCTTACGTGCTAACGATCGAATTAACTTGATATGTTTGGTGATATCTCTTGAGCAACACTAATTATATTCATATCCATGAACTTACTATATCTCTATGTAAATTCACACAGATATGAACGCATTTATCAATAAGAATTTAACATGGATTGTATAGCCCATAATTATCTCTCGGTCTCTTATAATGTTTATGTTAATTATTGCATGAGTTAGAATTATACATGACATCTTTGTCTCAATATTATCCCTAAGTCAATCAATTGTTGCGCGGACAATTAAAGCATTAAACCCACGATAATTAATTAACAAATATCAAAATGGCATGAAAATCTTGAAATTAAACATATAATAAAAACCTTAAGTTATATCATTCATTCTAACAATAAAAGTATTTAGGTACTCATAACGGTTGAAATTAAACATGCAAAAGTGAAACATATCACCAAAAATTGACAAAATATAATTGATTTTCCAAATTATTGCTCCAACTTCAGCCGTCAATTTCTTTTCTCTTTGCATGTATGCCCCTATTTGAGCCACAATCTTATTTTCATTTTTCAACTCATTTTTAACCACACATTTTTCAGTAAAATAGTATTTTTCATCACATCAATAACTTTTCATTTTTTTTCAAACACATATTCACCATTACATCACAAAAAAAAATGCATTATCTCCTTAAAAAATGTGTATCAAACACACACTATATAAAAAATGTGCCCAATCGAATTTTTTTTTTTTACCACTCCTGACTCTGCTCCTGAGCTTAGCGAAACATGCTCGACTTATGATTCGTTTGTCGTAGCTATTGTGAG